CCGCCGGCGCTCCGTCCGGCGGCGTCCCGGAAGCAGTCGTCTGCTTCCACCCCCAGTCTATTAGGGTGGATTGGGGCTGAGGCATGGGGCAGCCTCATCCCCAATCCTCTGCTTCTCAAGGCGGCCCACAGCCGCCCATCTGCATCCCTCCTAAGGTTTGATCTGCTCCACAGAATTAATCCAGTTTGACATTGCTTTAACACCTATGGCTCAGTGCTATGCAATTCTTGAATTTGTAGTTTTGAGAGATATTTATCCTTCTCTATCAGAGAGCTCTGGTGCCATAACAAACTACAAATTCCAGGATTCCACAGGATGGAGCCATGACAGTTAAAGTTGTGTCAAACTGCATTATTACTACAGTGCAAATTAGACATAAATTGTGAATGTGCTGTTGGGTGCCTTCAGGTTGTTTCTAACTTGTGGAACCCTAAGGCAAACCTATCATGGGGTTTTCTTAGCAAGATTTCTTCAGAGGAGGTTTGCCATTGCCTTCACCTGAGGCTGAGAGAGTGTGACTTGCTCAAGGTCACCCAAGGAGTTTCATGGCCAAGGAGGGAATCAAACCCTGGTCTCCAGAGTGATAGTGTGATGCTCAAACCACTATGTCATGCTGGCTGACTCAACACACACACCCAACATTCACTTTAACAGCCAGCAGCCACACCAAGTGATGGGAGTCTGTTTTGCTGGCAATAAGCAAAATATTTCCAGCCTTCTGCCACCAGTGATCTGGGATGAAATTTGGAATGGAACAACAGAGGACCTGCTTCTTATTGTTGTAGCCTCACTCATAACTGGGAAGAGGCTCCAAATGTCTTCTGCTGCATCCCGATTGCCAGTATAACAGACATTCATTGCTCAGTGCAGGGGTAGGCAACCTTTCCCCTTTAAGGGCTGAGGGACTTCAGCTCCCAGAATCCCAGGAGCTATTGGCCAACATGGGACTATTGGCCAACATGGCTGAAGCTTCTGGGAGCTGAAGTCCTTCGGGCCTTAAAGGGGAAAGGTTGCCTACCCCTGGCTCAGTGTGATTCCCTGGAGTTAAAGGGCCTCGGCAGATGACTAATAGAGTCGTCTCCGAGGCAGGGAAGAGGAGGGGCAGCCACATGATCAGTGCCCCTTCCTCCTCCCGAAGTTGCCCTCGGAGCTGCCAGCCCTCCGCACAGCCGGTGCTCCGAGGGCAACCTCCCGCCGCAGCGTCCGCACACGCTGCGGTGGATAAGTCAGTGAAAGTGTGCCCTACGCTTTTAGGGCGCACTTCCACTGACTTCTGAAAGGAGCGCTGATTTAGCGCTCCTTTCAGAGGCGCCGACGGTGCACCATGGTGCGGATGCCACGGTCCCGCGGCTCACCATCCCGCGGCGTCTCGGACACCCTCGTGTGCTTCCCCCCTAAGTTAGGATCTGGGAAGCATTTACAGTCTTGGAAATAGTACATGTGAATACATAGTGCAGTCAGCCCTCCATATTCACAGGTTTTTTTTATCCAGAGATTGATTCTAAATGGCTCAAAAATATATATTCCAAAAAGCAAACCTTGATTGTTTCATTTTGTATAAGGGACACCATTTTACTATGCCATTGTTTTATTGCTAGAAACTGTTGATGACATTCCTTTGTGGTTAAGGAGCAGAAGGAAGGGAGTTGAACCTGTATCAAGAAGATCCAAAATCTCTCCCTTGGGAACACTGCCATAAGAAGAAAGGAGGTGGGATTCATGGAAAGGGAAAGAAAAGAATGTTTTGTTTATGTAACAAATGAGAAGACAGCCTGCCAAAATTATGAAACTCGTCCTTTAATTGTGCTTTGCTAACAATTGCTGTTTAATACTGATAGTAACAACTTCTTGTGTACACCTCTAGTTGCTGAATAAAGGTTGTGTGAGTTGTACTTGGATTTCTAAATGAGGTTACTGGACTTGGCAAACATGTTGCTATTTTTTCCCCACATTCATAATAGTACAATGGTCAATAATTGCATGAACCAGGTATTGGACTAGAGGCTTGGATTTGTGCTTTTTCCTTTCTATGGAGGAACTGATCCATCATAATTTTAATATAGCACTCTGTGTGTGTACAGTTGGATCAAAGTGTGTGCTCTTACAGTAGAAATATGCAACCTGATTCATCCCATCTTGAAGCTGAGTTTCAGCTTCCAAGAGCCCCAAACATTAAGTTCACTTGTCAGAGATTATGGGAGCTGATGTCAAAACATCTGGATGGAACATCATGCCTTTCTCTTTTCAGTATGGTAGTCAAATGTGCAAATTGACATCTTCATTAGGAATTAATCATATACCTTTTTCTTGTAATACATTTTCCTTTGTTATATTTTCCCCTAACCAAAATTAGAGAAGGAATATATGTTTCACATTCTACCAGTTTCAGCTTTTTAAAGCATGTGTTCTTTATCTACATTATTTTTTTGGTAAAAATCTGCATGAAATTGATATGCATTTTCATCCACATTTTTTTTCATATATGTGGCAGTTTCGATGCAATTTTCTCCAATGTGCACAATTTTTGTCAGCAATTTCCCCTAATATATACCCTTTTGTATGCAATTTCCATAATACATATATTTTTGTATGTAGTTTTGAAACATCAGAAAACTTCATTGCAAACTTTTGGAGACATGGTGTGTGTGTGTGTGTGTGTGTGTGTGTGTGTGTGTGTGTGTGTGTGAAACCAGAAGCATCATTGTATTCAACATCAGGAAGAGTACATTAGATTGGATCATATTAAAATATAAACCAAACAAATTTCTTACCCATATAATCCCAGATGTGGCTCCATTCTAGGGATGTTTTAAAAACTCTGAGTGTCTGAGCAACTCCCTTTGAAATGCTCTTCTTTTCCATATGTTTTTTTCTGAAGAGATTTCGTCTTCTCCAAATCCAGCTTCAAAGAGCAGATCATTTTCCAGTAGAAGACCAATGCACTAAATTTTGCTCTGGAAGTAGGAAGACCACATATTAGGCTTTGGATTAAACAGGACCATTTTTATTTGCTATTTAAACTTTTAAGCATGAATAGCAATAGTGGAAGCTACTTCCTGTGAGTTTCTGATGAGGCAAGTGTCCCTTCCAAACTTCCCCCTTAACCACCTTTTGGAGAGACATCTAGCCCATTGGAGCAATCCAAAATGACTTGGTTGCCCCCCAAGATTGCCTTCTTGTTAGAATTCCACCCCCACCCCCCAAGGAGCTCCATCCCTCATGTTTCATGACTTAAAGCAAGAACATACTCCAGGTAGATTTCAAGTGGGATTCCCTTCTCCACTTCATGGGTACCTTGACCAGAAATTCCAGAAATACTGTTGTTGTGTGCCTTCAAGTCATTTCTGACTTATGGTGATCTGAAAGCTCACAGGGTTTTCTTAGCCCTTGCAAGTGATAACACATTAAAAGCTTGTGTGGACACAAAGATCTTTACTTGCTGGTGGAAGGAGAGCAAGGAAAAGGACAACCAGACCTCCCATGGAAGAAAATTCCAGAAGATTGGAGCAACCACATTAAGTAAGTGGAGGGAAATCCTGGAAAAGAGGGGAAGTCCTACTCAGCCCAGGGCAACCAGCCAAATCTTACACTAAATTTGAGAGCAATGGGTAGAAAAAGAGGAGGTGAGTGGGGTGGAGAGGACTTATAAACCATCCCTTTACCTCTGAGCTGGCACACAGCACCATGTTGACAATTTACTTCCAGGGCCAATAAGGTCAGCCTCTCCCCTACAGCCCACATTAGTAACTCCAGGACTGCAATGTTGGCATTTCATGACCCATGATGTCATTTAGCCTCATGAGGCACAGGTTTTTGAAGACTTTCTCACAGCAGGAAGAAAATTGCTGAAATTACTCATTGCTACCTTCAGGGAGAAACTTAGGCTGCATCCTCACTGCAGAAATAATCCAGTTTGACACCACCTTATCAGCCATGGTTCAGTGCCATTGAATTCTGGGAACTGTAGTTTCGTGAGACATTGAACTCTGGTTCCAAAATAAACTATAATACCCAGAATTCCATAGCATGGGGCCATGGCAGTTAAAACTGTGTCAACCTGGATTATTTCTGTAGTGCGAATGCAGCCTTAGTGAAGAATTACATCCTAAGGAGGGAAAGGGCAGAACTGGGAACAGACAGGTGCAGAACTAGTGTACCCCCTCTTCCTGTGTTGATTAAATATTTTTATATAAAATCTGAATACAGTCTTTGTCTCTTTTTAACCTCCCTTCATTATTTATTTATTTATTGAATTTATATCCTGCCTTTCCCCCAAAATGGGATACATCTTCCCTTCCCATTTTGAGTCAGTGAAGCACAATTCAACATCCCTGCCATCTTTAATTTGCTGAAGCAACATGGTTCAGCTAGCATCCAGTGTCAGCTTCTAGAAATGTCTGCTGAATTGTGGTGGTTTTTAATTTAAATGGCACTTTCATCATACCTTCAACATTTGCCAATAATGTGTCAAGCAGATCTATTGCAAGGTGGAAAGTCATAAAGAAAAATTTGCAAAGGTTAGCGTAAAAGATCTTTAAATATTATCAAATATTTGTAAAAAAAAAAATGGAGGGGGCAAAAGAAGAGAAACAAGAAGAAGGTAGCCATTTATTTAGCCAAAGTAAATACTAGGTAAGCTGAAATAACCTTGTGTGTGTTGTTTAAATCCAAAATGAAATATGCTGAGGGTCTTAGCTAGACTCAAACGTATTTTATTTGCTTTCCCCCTTTTAATGTAACTTTCAATTTACATTTCTGTAAACGGGACTTATTTATAGACATCACACCTTTCCTTTCAAGTTCTTTCATATTTTTCTGCATGTAAAATGTCGAGGTGGGATATTGCTATGTTTTTAATGTCTAGGAGAAATAATTAAGAGGCTAGAATGAAGTCACCATTCCTCACCAAGTCAAAAAAGAAAAAAAATCACTTATGGAAATGATCAAACATGCAAACAAAATTGTAAGTCCAAAACTGGAATTCTTTAGTGCTAACCTGTGCATGCAGAATTATGCACTGATTGTGCTGTGCATGCAACTGAACCAAGACATCCCATCTCCAATGAGATATGCATCCATGTGCTATGTGAAATATGCAGTGCACATCATTGTGCAGTTTGTAACATGCTTTCTGCCCTTGCCCTGTTGTGCATTGGCATGAATTTATATGAACAAGAGCTTGGATTTAGGTATGCTCAAATGTTGCTTTCCTTAACTCTTTATTCATTTCTATTTCTGTCCCTTGCACCTTCAGAGATGATGCCTCTGCTTTTGGTTCTGTGACAGCTGATTAAAAACACACAAATGACAACTGCCAGCGAGTAAATGATGCATTGTAAGGCTGATGATACAAGAGCAGAAAGAGAAGGTCACATTAAACATATCATGCTGAATCACATTGGTTAGGCTTGACTAGAGTAGATCCATTAAATCAATTGTTGGCTAATGAGTTAACACATAAGTATGTCCCATGTATTCAGTGAGTCTACTTTATGTTGCAGTATCAGTAAGATTTAGGCCACCATTTTCCCAAGGCACACTTTGAGAGTACATTTATGCTTACAATTTGGCCAAGACTCCAAAATTTAGTTCCTAGATGAGCTTTCTTTTTAAATTTT